TTTTTGTGCAATGAAGTTCAATGAATGTGCAATAAAGTAAATGTTTGTATAATTAATAGAATCAGGCGTTACTTTGCGGTTTGTAGGTAGGTATGTACTTGAAATATTATTGAGCGTATTTTCGTTCAGTATGTTATTCCATTTGTCTGTTTCTGTTTGTTAATTTCACTTTCATTTGTTTGTCCATCAGTTGTTTATTTCATAGTCTATCAGTAGTGACAGTAATATTTGTTTTCCCGTATTAAAAGCGTCCGTAACCCAGTGCAACTAAAATCATTGCGGGAGTAACTATGACTCTCTGAGGTGGATCCTTAGCGCCGTTGTGCGCGCGTTAAACGATAATACCGATCGCTGAGGTCCTGATAGCCTCTTAACGGGTCGCAGCGGGGTCGCCTGCTCGCGTCCCGGCCCTAACGGGAGGAGATAGTGGGTGCTCCTCTCTCAACGGAGCAAAGTGTGGTGGTTGGGAAACCGCCAGCCATTTTTCAGCCACTTCAATACACGATCTCTGTTGAGTTAGTAAATGGGGTTTGTGTGCCTGGGTGACCCTTTCCAGACACGCAGACTCAACTCCTACCCGAGGCCTGCACGTGGCACCGCCGCTTATAACTGACACGGGAGGGGGGGACGTGCCTAAATTAGTATGCCCCGGAGATGGCTGTTGCGGGGTGACCGCCTCGTTGGCACATTCCTAATTCTGCGAGGCCCAGCGCGTTTCCACTATAGTCTCCCGTTCGGCTGTCTCTTCGCGGCTTTCAGTCGTGTTGTTGGCAGTCGGACGGGAGACTTTAGTCAGGCTTGTGAACCGGGTTTGCTAGATTCGTCTAGTATGCGCAGCGTCCTAGATCATGGGGCGTAATCCAGGCTAGGTTCGGGTGAGATTCCCAAATAGTCCCATCGGGTGGTAAACGTGCCGCCAAGTCGAACCGCTGACTTCGGTCGGGACAATTACGAGATGCGGTAGGCGAACCAGGTGGCTGGGCTTGCACCCCAGCCACATTGGGCAAACTCACAAGCAATGGACAGAATAAAGAATGAAAATGATTTATTTTGCCACCCTGGCCTCCCACAGGAGCCGGGGAGCTTGGCCCAATCTTCGGCCGCTCAAACTGGGGCTCCGGCCACAGTTTCCGCGGTCACTGACTGGACTTGTCCGGTGTGTGAACGTGCGTTCACCACCAAAACGGGGTTGGGGGTCCACAAGCGTAGGGCCCACCCCGAAGTAGCAAATGCGGAGGCTGCTCCAAATATGGTGAAGCGCAGGTGGCGCGATGAGGAGCTGGCATTGATGGCGCGTACAGAGGCGCGATTACTGGAGGAGACCGGTCGATGTACGAACGCAGACCTGTACAAAAGCCTGTCAGGGTCCGAGCGGACCCTAGAGGCAATCAAAGGAAAGAGGCGCTGTGGGGAATATAAAATCCTGGTGCAAGCGTGCCGGGAAGAATACAGATCCCCACCAATTAGCAGCCAAGCTCCAGAGAACAGGGGTTCGACACGGCCGGAATCCGAAAGTGTCGAGATGCCGGTCCAGCCTCTGCCAGCTGAAGACGCACTGCCTGTCTCCGATGACCCATCACTGCACTTAGGTGGTGCCCCAGATAACACGTGTACAGACCAAATTGTCGCGGATCTTCTAGCGAGGGCCGCGGTGAGGAGGTCGCGACACGGCCTGGGTTCCCGTAGTGCGAGGCGGCACCGCATACCGAACGTGACTCGGGCCGACACCGCACTGGCCGGTTTGTGGAGCCGCAAGCGGAGAAGACTAGAGTACGCCAGGGTACAAGAACTATTCCAGAAGTGTCGCAGTCGAGCAGCAGCCGAGGTGATCGATGGAGTGCACTGGGGCGTCCGGCACTCTCTCGAAGATTTGGAAGCCTATTGGCGACCGATCCTAGAGAGGGTGTCTGATGCCTCAGGGCCTACACCGTCTGCTCTAAACGCCTTACGGCGGGAGGAGCAGTATGGGGGCGCACGCGATTACTCTCGGCTGTGGGTGCCTTTCACGACCGACGAAGTGAAGGCGTCCAAGTTTGACTGGCAGACAGCGCCTGGTCCGGACGGTATCCGTCCGGATGAGTGGCGCCTAGTTCCTGCGGCCCGAAAAGCGGAAATTTTTAACTCTTGGATGACCACTGGCGTAGTACCAGAGCCCCTGCGGCAATGCCGGACGGTCTTCGTGCCGAAGATGGATGATCCTGCTGGGCCGGGCAACTATCGACCGATTTCGATCGCCTCGATACCGCTTAGGCACATGCACTCGATCCTGGCGAGAAGGCTTCTGGATTGCTGCCCCCCCGATGCACGACAGCGTGGATTCGTCCGCGCCGACGGCACTTTGGAGAATTCCGCCGTGCTGGACGCGGTGCTAGGGGATAGCAGGAAAAAGTTAAGAGAGTGTCATGTGGCTATTCTCGATTTCGCGAAGGCGTTCGACACAGTGTCTCATAGAGCGCTGGTCGGGCTTCTTCGGGCTCGAGGGTTGCCCGTGGCATTCTGTGATTACATCCACCGGCTGTACGACACGGCGACCACCAAGTTGGACGTCGGCGGGCAGTCGGGTGAACCTGTTAGATTGGGCCGAGGTGTGCGTCAGGGAGACCCGTTGTCGCCCATCCTGTTCAACATGGCGATGGACGTAATTCTTGCTGCTCTACCGAAAGAGGTAGGCTATAGGCTAGAGATGGAGCGAGTCTCGGCTCTAGCCTATGCCGATGACCTAGTCCTGCTTGCAGGCTCAAAGGTAGGGATGCAGGAATCCATCGACCGTGTCTCCAGGCTTCGTCGACTTCCAGGCGTCTGGAAATCATTAGAGCATAATATCAAAGTTGCCTTGACCAACATCTCAAAGGCACCCCTCAAGCCGCAGCAGCGGCTCGAAATTGTGAGGGGACACCTTATTCCGAGATTTTTGCATGGCCTTGTGCTAGGTAATATCTCGGATGATAGGTTGTGTATGCTCGACGTCCAGATCCGGGGTGCGGTAAGGACTTGGCTGAGGCTTCCGAAGGACGTGCCTGTCGGGTACTTCCATGCCGACATCAAGGACGGCGGCCTAGCGATCCCATCGCTTCGGGCGACCGTCCCGGACCTCATACTTAAGAGGTTCGGGCGGCTCGACTCGTCGAGTTGGTCAGTGGCAAAGGCCGCCGCCAGATCCGAAAGGATCCGTAAGAAGTTGAGCTGGGCCGACAAGCAATTCCGAAAGTTCACCAGAGAGGATCCGGTCACGGGCCTTAGGTCCGTCTCACGGTTTTGGCGCGAGAGACTGTGGAGCTCAGTGGACGGGTTCGAGTTACGCGAATCCGCCCGCACTCCCGCGTCCACGAAGTAGATTCGGGAGGAGTCTTCACATGTCTCTGGTCGGGACTTCGTGCAGTTCGTCCACACGCACATTAATGCCCTCCCGTCACGGGTTCGGACATCCAGAGGGCGCAGGATTGGTCGTGAGGCGGAGTTGAACTGCCGCGCCGGGTGCGTGGTTAGGGAAACGACGGCTCACACCATCCAGCAGTGTTGGCGGACGCACGGGGGCCGGATCTTACGCCACGATCGTGTTGTGAAGCTAGTAGCAGACGCGATGGCTTCAGACCAGTGGTCGGTGGTGACAGAGCCTCATGTCAAGACCTTGAAAGGCCTTCGGAAGCCCGACATAGTAGCTGCTAAAGGGGGCGTCGGAGTGATCGTGGACGTGCAGGTGGTCTCGGGCCAGCGGCCTCTCGATGATGCTCACCTTGAGAAACGTAGTAAATACGGGACTCACGAGGAGCTAGTCGAGAAGGTTGCAGGTATACTAGGACTACCTAGCAAGGATTGTGTCCGCGCGACCTCTTGTGCGATCTCCTGGCGAGGTGTTTGGAGTCACTCCTCCTATAAGGAGTTGAAGAGACTCCTTGGGCTGAAAGAGAGTCTGTTCCGAGCTATACCGGTGGTGGTATTGCGCGGTTCGCACATGAACTGGACAAGGTTCAGTCAGATGACCGGGATTGGGGTGGGAGACCCAGTGTGAGTGCCCGGAGTCCTGTGGGACTTCTGGGCTGCTGCCGAGCCCGGGGTGGTCGCGGCCATGTGCCTAGGTGCAAAATACCAATTTCCCCTAACATCCAGCGACCACCAGTGCAACAGCAATCGGCACAATGCTGATCTGCCAAGCCCCTGTGGACGGGAGATTGGGGACTAAGTGGCGTCTCTCGTGGCATCCATAATGATTAGTGATTACGTTCACTAAGACGATGGTATGATGATCGGCGGAAATAGCCTCGGTCACTGATAATATAACGATTGTTGGTGCGGCATACATATCGATAGGTTTCTTTAGGTCACGATTGATACCAGTCTTACATGATGGAAAACGATGACGAATTTGATGGTGAAACACGCTTACAAGAACATGTCGTTTAGTTTCCTAGTGTGTCTATTTAATTGTCTGTTACCTGTTTATAATTCTTCCGTCACCTAGTTCGATTGTCTGTCTAGTTGACTTTTTCTCTGTCGATTATTCTTTCAGTAAGTTTATGTATGTCTTCCATCGTCATTATCGTTTTCCTAGCTCTCTGTTCATTTATGAATATTTTTTTTATGTTTATTTGTTTCGGTGCCCGTTTGTGATTAAAATAGATTTTCTTTTAAGGATGCCAATGACAGCAGCTGAACGACAACGGCTATACAGGCAACGTCTTAAGGAATTAAACCTAGAAAAGTTTGAAGAAATTCGATTAAAAAATTTGAACAGAATTAAGAAGAAATATGTGTCAGTTTCTAAACTAACAGATAACCAAAAGTCAATAAGAAGAAGGAACCGGAGAAAGCTGAAGAAAAATCAGAAAGAATAACATGAGTCACAACTTAAAACCAAAACGAATACACAAGAATATCAAACGTACTATAAGAGGCTAAAGAAAGAAAATAAAAAACAAAAAAATATAATTAAAAAACAAAGAAAACAAATACAAGCACTAAAAAAGAAAATCTATCGACAAAAAATCCTTCTTAATTGTCAGATGACTGCCACAGAGCAGGAAAATCTTATAATTCACGAAACGCCCCAGACGCCAAATACAAAATCAGAAGCATTCGTCAAAACTATGACTATTCCTTCAAACGAAGATAAAATAAAAATTAAGAAAGTTCTTCTAGAAAAACTCGTTTTGCCTGAAGCAATAAAGCAGGAATACGTGAATAACAATAAGGCGAAGAAGGTATTAAGGAATATTTTTACATCACCTATTGTGGCAAAGTATAGAATGCATTCGCGATTAAGATGGGTTTAAAAAGTAGAATCCGCAATAATGCAAAATTTGTCTCCAGGAGAAACAGTGAATTAGCGAAAAAAATTCGAAACTTTTACCTGCGTGATGATGTAAGCCGAGCTACGGCGGGAAAGAAAGAAACTAAAACTTTAAAAAAACAGAAACGTTAGAAACGGTTTCTTCTCGACAGCATGACAAATTTACGTAAAATATTTAAGAATGATACTGGAATTAATGTGTCTATTGCCACATTTCGTAGACACAGACCTTTCTATGTAGTTACAACTCGACTATCAAATCGTGAAACATGTGTTTGCCAAATTCATGCAAACCTTGAGTTTAAATTTATGGCACTAATAAAGCTGATGATCTTTGATCCAGGTATGAAATTAATAAATATATTGGAAGAAACAGTATGCGACACAAAATCAAAAGAATGTATGTATTCTGAATGTAATATGACTATTATAAAATAACAATAGACTCCGGAGTGTAGTGGTGGATCCATGTTTCATCGATTGTCACATATCGACGCAAAACTTCACTTCTATTGCGGTTGAACAGCTTCAAACATTGCTCTGAAGCATCGACACGTTCTTGTTTCTGGTCGATGGTGAGCCTGCGCGGCACCCACTTTGCACATAGCTTTCGCATACCCAAATATTCATGAGCGATATGTCCAACACGTTCCTTTGATATTTTTAGAGTGTCATCTATACAAATTAACCTCAATTTTCGATCTTCCAAAATCATTTTGTCGATTTTTTTTGATGTTTTCGTCCGTAACAGCCTCTTTTGGACGTCCATTGCGTTCATCGTCTTCGGTGCTCATATGGCCTGTACGGAATTCAGTAAACCACTGACGAATGGTTGCTTCGCCCGTCACGGAGTCCGGATAACACTCATCAAGCCACTTTTTGTTAACAGCAGTACGTTTTTTCATCAAAATATAGAGTTTCAATAACACACGAAATTTCATTTTATCCATTTTTTTTTCAAAATAACAAAACTTGCTTCACTCAAAATGCTGTATCTCTCAAACTAATAATCAGATATCTGTCAAATGTATACACGTTTCTTTTGAAGGTTGGTACTAATTAAAATGATATGGATTTTATTCTATTGGCGCCATCTCACAAAAACAATACGAACTTTTTAGCCCACCTAATAGGGTCCGAGAAATTACCATATTTGAAGAAGATTTGTAGTACACTCAATCCGCGATAGCAGTAGGAGCGGTGTGGCGTATTTTTCTTGGTTCATCACCATTACATTCCTTCAAATCGTGCGATCTTCGATCGATTTTCTTAGTTAAATACTAAGTTATCTATGTGGCCTGATTTTTACGACACATGATACCAATAAGCTTTTTAAGTCTACTTCTGGACAAGAATGCGTCGAAAGACATTCATTACTTAGAATATTTGCCCACACTCACTTTACTGGAAAGGCGGATTAGTAAGCACACAGCTGACACTTTCGCTATTATAATGCATAATTCCATCACCGGTCTATCTTCTCTGTCATTTACGTATTTTTAATGAAAAAAATCGTCACATTACCAGGATTTTCTCCCGTATCATAGAGGCGTTTAACATAAATTAACTATATAGACAAATCTAGTCCGCATGCCAGTCTTCTCTGGATGCCATGGAACTTTTATTTGTAGGCCATACAAACAATTGTACATGATGCCACACGCTTTGCCATCGAGCCATCAAGTTTATAATTTTAATAAATATAATTTAATTTTAAATTGCATTGTGGTTTCATGTTCATACGTGCATTAATATCGCCGTGTATTGGCAGCTTAAGAAAAAAAAACGAGCATGCGACTCACCTGATGGTAAGTGTCGACTTTTGCTAATAGAAATCCGTAAAAACTCCACAAAAAAGTCGTGTGAGGAAGAAAACTCTTAATAGATCGCACAGTAGTGGACCACCAAGCATCCAGATGATGTAGTAACGTGAGTTTTGTTGCGATGTGCGTTGGTGTAATTTGGCGAACAATTCCTCAGACACTCGTCGCGGTAAATGTGGTAGAAAATGCAAAGGAAAATGCTGGCGCTGTGAAGAAATGTTGCATCAACATTTCTTCGCAGCACAAGTGAATCAGGCCCCTCAAAGAGAACTTGGTCGTCGATTATTAAAAAAAAAAAAAACAAAAAACAAAAACAAGATGATTCAAGTTGCTCTGCGCTGGATGCGGTCAAGTGGAAGGAGCTGGCACTGGGGAGCCCCGGACCAGAGATGAGAACAGTATTCCATATTAGACTGAACCTGCGCCTTGTAAAGTTGCAAGCGGTGTGCCGGCATGAAATACTGTCCCACTCTGCTGAGTTTTTTAGAGGTCCATTTAACCTTCCCTTCCAAGTGAACATGAAATTGCTCGTCACTCGATATGTTGACGCCGAGGATTTCGATGGTAGCTGAGGCTACAACAGGGAGTGCCCTGAGATTGAGGAGATACGACAAAGGGTTCTTTTAGCGTTAAATGCGCAAACTTCAAACTGGACTACCCTCTGATCCGAGACTTTGTTAAACAAATACTTCAGTCACAAGCCAAGCACGGCACTCGCGACGTGTTCCCGAGAAATATTAGCAAGGCCGGTGTAAAAAGCATCACCAGTGCTGTCCTTCACATAACTATAAATGTTTCTGGTTTGCAATATAGCATTGATATGCAGAAGGAATAGCGTAGATAGCTTAGCGGTTTGCCATGGCAATAACTATTCCTTTTTAAGAGCGCTGGTCTGTTTATCCCGGGACATCGATGTGTCAGCCAAGGCCCGGTAGCACTCCTGCTTATAGAGTGATGCAATTTTACAGGAGCGACCAAACCATGGCTGGAACATGACTGAAAAAGAAAATGAAAAAAAAGTTCCATTCCTTGAAATACCATATCAGCGACAGCAACAACGTTGGGATCATCCGGCGAGAAGCCAATCTGCCTCCAAGGGAAGAATGCAAAAATATTCGAATTCTATCTCAATCAGCCGACCCACAGTGCCAAGAACGAAGGCAATCTACACAACGCAACATGATGAAAGCGGGAGTGGCACTTTACTCCAGATCAGATAATGGTCTGAAGAGTGAAGAGGGGTGTCGACGGAGACATGATATCCGTTCAGATGAGAGGTCAGCAGAAGGTCCAACAGGGAAGGTGCATGATCCTAAACATCTGGAATTCGCGTAGGCGAAGTAACCAGTTGCGTACAGATATATGGTCAAGGCAAATTTATAAAAAGATCTCTCCCCATAACCGGTTAAACGTGAACCAAGCCATCAAAGTGGTAGGCGTTAAAATCTCCAAAGAGCACGGATTGTGGATGGGATCTGTTGTAGCAAGAAATCTGTAGCCATTTGAAAGTGGTCGATAAGTCGGTCTGTGTTAGCATTACCGCTATGAGACTTATAGAGGCATTATATATTTTTACGTGGTAGAGCCATGCTGCAGCTATATTACTGGTATAGTTGTAGCACGAATGGGTCGGCTCGACCGGGGAAGGACCACGCTCTCAGAGAATACCAGCGTAAAATGGCAGCTTAACACTGTTGTGTTTCGTATGGTGAGTGTAGAGAACCGGAGACCCTTTTTACTGGAAAAGAGGCATTCCATCTTAGTCCTCACAGGTGACAACGCATCTGCATTTTGATTCGCAAACGAGGACAGATGTATATGTCTATGGGCCATAGTAAAAGCTTACCATCAAGTGGACTGTGTTCTTGTTTGTCACCTTATCCTATAAAAAAATATTCTCAATTTTTTAATACTAGTCTGGTTTTCACTCGGTTTACCACCAAGTATTTAGTAAATTAGAACCTAAGTTTTAAATTAAAAATTCATTTATGCCGGGCATCTTCTGGGAACTTCCATAAATAAAATCTATTGGCTATACATTGCCAGTACAATTAATTGTATTTAATGCAGCGAATTGTAACGTTGGCATATTTTAATTTAAATAAATTTATTACAGTTTGTTTTCGAGTTTTACATAGTAGTTTGAGCATTGATGCTTTTGAAACTTGGTTGAAATATGAGCATAGGACTACATGGTAGAGACATGCTGCAGCTATATTATGGTTGTAGCACGAATGGGTCGGCTCGACCGGGGAAGGACCACGCTCTCACAGAATACCAGCGTAAAATAGCAGCATAGCGCTGCTATGTTTCGTAGGTGAGTGTAGAGAACCGGAGACCCTTTTTTACTGGAAACGAGGCATTCCATCTTGGTCCTCACGGGTGACAATGCATCTGCATTTTGATTCGTAAACGAGGATAGATGTAGATGTCTATCGGCCACAGCAACTACTTACCATCAGGTGGATTGTGTGCTCGTTTGTCACCCTAATTCTATAAAAAAAACCCGTAGACGCAAGAATGGTCGTCGCTGTCTATACGCAGCTAAAGTATGGATCTTTAAGACTGCCGAGGCATTGAGAACATATATTCTCTTTGTCGTATATGCAAATTCCAGTCCAAGGTACAAACGACTGATTCAATTTGTACCCCTACGTACCCTACCTGTATCTCGCTCAGAAAGAGTAATGCCAGCTTCGCTGTCTCCAGATGTTAGTTAGACGGCTGATGTTGACTGATTTTGCAGTAATTCAAAAGTTGGGTTCGGTTTTCGGCCACCTGCAGTTACTTGGTGAAATGCAGAGTAAACTTCTTTTACGTACTTCCCCAGTTCGAACCGGCTTATCCGTGCCAAAAGCAGCCGCGTGGATCTTTTTACTGGAAACGAGGCATCTGGTCATAGTGTAGTCTACGAAATAGTCTCGTCTAGAGTATGAAAAAGAATATCGGTAGGACCATGAAAACTCTCACGCATGAAATAAATCAATGATGCTAGTTGCACTCGTTAAATATCTGAATTAGTGTAGAAAGAAAGTTATGTGTCTTTGTTAGACATTTGTGGAATTTCAATAAATATAGTAATAGAATATATTGAATACTTTATTTTTCGTGTAAATCAGCAAAAGATAATCCGCGTTTACGCACTCACTTATTACAGAAATAAATATAACTTTCAAAAAGTTTTATTTTTAGATAACGATTCCATTATTTTGTTTTCAGGCTTTTATAGTACTCGGCACATTTTTGTTGTCACTCAGCGCAGGTGCAACGGCAGGGTTTTCTGCAGTCCTTATTCCGCAACTACAACACGCAAAGGGACATAAAAAATACTCTACCGAGATGGTGTCTTGGGTAGGTATGTGTAAATATAATATAATGTTAATGATATACTTTCATTATCTGCTTATTTATTGCTATATATTTTATATTTGATATTGCATGCGTTAAGCGGAAAGCGCGTAGGTATGTTCTACTAGCGCTTAAAAATCAAAATTCCAACGTTTTGTCACATAAAATCGTATCTAACAGTCACATTAAACATAAAAATGATATAAAAGCACATTGTCAGAAAAATAAATGATTGTTGAACTTATTAATTTTTTTAAATCGGTCAATAGATATTTTTACATAAAAGGTGGTTTTAGTGACTTATGGTGTAGATGTATCAAGTCCGCATGGAATGGTAAAAACGATAACTTTTAAAAATATCAATTTTTTAACTCAGTCTATTATTTAATCTCTTCATGTAGGGAGCCATGGAATGTAAATGGCAGTTTAATTTTGATTTTTTTAGTTATAATTAATTTTTTTCGACTGCGAAATGTCGAAATTTTCGGTGTTTTAGCAGCCTTGTATTAATTTATTTTACTTAATAGACTGCAATCTGGCGTCAAGCGCCGTTGTGAGTGGATGTATTGTATATATATACTGTATAACCAATTTTCATACATACTTTATAATAATCAGAGATTTATATTACAATATTTTTAAAGCACAGAATATATAATATTAGGACGTACTAAAAGTAAGTAGGATGTATATATTTATACTTAAATACGTCTTGGACTTTATGGAGTGACCTATATTATGATATGATGATCATATGAGCATTATGAGTCGCGCACTTTTGAATTTTCCAAACTTTTTTTAAATTGAAGTTTGAACATAAAGTTATTGGAAAATTGGAAGTATAATAAGGTTAGTAGTGAAAACTTGTGTGTATTTAAACTAATTTAAAAAAAAATCCGTATAGTTATGTTATACGTAATTTTTTTAATGCGCTTAGGGCATGCACAATTGATTTTACCAATAGTTTCTTTTCTTTTCAGCGGCTATTTCGTCACTGGCTTTATTATTCGGTAACATGATTTCGGGATATCTAATGGATAGATTGGGTAGAAGATCATCTCAAATGCTACTTTCATGGCTTTATATTGGAGGATGGACAACAATAGCAATTACGACTAATATACATCTAATTTTGGTTGGAAGATTTATAACTGGCCTTTGTCAGGGATGGTTGGGTCCCCTTGGGCCAGTTTTTGTGGGAGAAATAAGTTCGCCGGCATATAGAGGTTTGTTCTTAGCAAGCTTGTCATTGAGCACTGCTTTCGGAGTGTTCATGTCACATCTATTTGGAACATTGCTGCACTGGAGTCATGCATCTTTGCTTTGTGGAACTTTTCCTCTAATTGGATGCATTATACTGTATTATGCTCCAGAATCACCAGCGTGGTTTGCTTCCAAGAGTCAAATAAGCAAGTGTATCAAATCATTCCAATGGTACAGAGGTACTGGTCCATCTATGAAAGAAGAATTAGATAAAATGATATTAGAACATACAAAGAAAGTTGATAAAAGAAGCAAGATTGAAACGTTGAAAATAAACATCAGTAAACCCGAGTTTTGGAAACCTTTATGTATAATGCTAGTGTTTTTTGCAATAACTCAACTCTCAGGGATAAACGTCTTCTGTGCTTACACAACTGAGATTATGGAGATTTTATTAGGTAGTAAAACTAACACATATGCGGCCATGTTGGGAATAGATATTTTGCGATGCGTGGCTTTAGTCACAGCCTGTATCATGCTAAGAAGAATGGGCCGAAGACCTATTGCGATATTTAGTGGAACCTTTACATCATTGTCCCTTATAATTTTATCAATTTATTTATACTTAGTGGAAATTAATGTTATAAAACAAGTCACTCCTGTAATATCATTAGTATTAACAGCAGTCTATATTGTTGTGTCAAACATAGGTGTAGGCCCCCTTCCTTGGAATATGGTCGGAGAAGTATTTGCATCCGAAACAAAAGGCATAGGTTCAGGTTTAAGTGTTATGATGATGTCAGTTTTTTCCTTTGGTACGGTGAAAACCGCGCCAGCAATGTTTAAAAATATAGGACATTACGGTACTTATTTATTTTACGGAATGTCAACATTAATAGGTACGATATTTTTGTATTTCTGTCTCCCCGAAACAAAAGGAAAAACTTTATTACAAATAGAAGAACGCTTTAGGTCAGGCAAGAAAAGGAAGATTCTAGAAACGATTGATATAACGTCCGCTTAATGCTGGGGCCACAGTAACGATAAACGTCAATGCCCAAAAACGCAACAATTATTGCCTTAATTTTAACGCGATAAACTGAGTGGCCACACTTGGGTCGGTCAACGTCATTTCAATTTTAATGCCGTTGAACGGCGTTAAAGTAAACTGACCATTTATTTATTAACTCAAAACGGGACATGGGTTTATTTATACTCCCCAGTTAGCAGGTTAACAATAAAAAAATTATTATGTTATTTATTTAAAAACTGTAACTTTATACAATTAGTGTTCACTATAATTATAATCACATTAATTATAATTATTTTTCTTTTAACGAATTGTGAAAAATAAAAATTAATCACCAGTTCACCAGCTTCATTAAAGCAAAGTTCCTCAGACAGTAATTATTAAATGCAACATATTTTTTAATTATATTTATATTTGTCAGTGGAACAAATTTGCTTTAATAAAGTTGGTGATGATTTTAAATAAGGGCAAGTTTATTTTTACATTGATTTTTGTTATCAACATCGCCTTTAGAACTGGAAACTGTAAGTGATTTTTTTTCAGACGTCCACAATTTATTCATAATAGAAAAATACTTTTTCTACTGGAGCATTTGTACCAGCTATACATAAAATATATTCGATTAAAATGCAAGAGAATTTATGTTGAGTATGTTGGTGAGAAATGTTTGAATCACTCAACGAATTTCTGCGAAAACTTTGAAATTATCCCTTTCGGTTATTTTTTGGTCGGTCCCGCTCTCGCACCGTTCGTGTCTGACGAACTTCATAGTTTTAAATTTTCTCGCCGTTTAGTACAACGGGACTATTTTGCGTCCTGGAGCTTTGTTTGGGACAACGGGACAGGTGCCCGAGAAAAGGGACAGTCCCGTTCAAAACGGGACGTATGGTCACTTTACGTTAATTTTCCTTGAATTTCAAGCAAGATGAACGTTGACGCTGCTACACTATGTTTGATGAGTGTAAATTTTTATAATATGAATATATTTTATCATTGCCTATGCATGGCTCTGTTTGCAGAATCTCAGGAAACGTAATAACTTTTTCATTATTCCACTCTATCGTAGCCATACGTGCGACTCCGTTGCGCTCACCGTGCACAATGAGACAAACGTAGTGTGGCCGCTTCAACGCGTTAATTCCTGCGTTAATCTCTTTGATGTACCGACAGTCGAGTTATCGTTCAACGGGAAACGGTATTGTTCTTGCCGTTGTAGAATTATCGCGTTAAGTAGTGGCCACACCTACATTCAACGCCCATCAACGCGATAATTAACGGCATTTCTTGTTAGTGTAGCCCGGGCAGAGAGCGAAGTTGCATGTCAAGTCGATAAAATAATTCTTTCCGAGTTCAGCTCAGCGTGAATGCGTGTTATAATACACTATAGGTTAGAATACACTTTGGTAATTTTTTCACATTTATCTAACTCTATTATTGAGGTTAAGAAGATATAACAACACTTTTATTGTATGGAAATTCACGAGATTGATAATGACCAGAAAAATATCTTTATACATCAAAACAAAAACACTTTTTTTGTGTTTGCTTTGGTAATATAATATAATATTAGTAATTATCGCAGTATTGGCGTAAACAAATATTAATAAAGTGCTTACTAAATGCGATTACTATAATTTTGTAGCTTAATTTTAAATAAAATCAATCTATAATGAGATCTAACGTTCTTTTGTATTTGTTTATTTTATTGTATTATGTATTAACATTTACGTATGTAATAACATTTACATAACATTTCGACATTAAAATTTTTATTTTCTGACTTCTTGACTGTTCGTAAGGCACAACATCATGTTTCCTTACATACCGTTAGAAAATAAAGAAGGTCCAGATCCAGAAGGTGTCAATATCTACCAAAAAATTATCGTTTATAAATTGTTTAATATTATATTAAATTTGGTTCAACAAGATTACGACAATTTTCCGATAGCCACAACAACGCCAATATGAAACAGACTTTCATACAACATAACTATTAATTTTGCAAACCTAATTGTATTCAAGAACATTGATCTTTAGTGATATGTAGAGGATGAATAGTCAAATAGACGCACTATGCAAAATACTATTGTTAATATGGCACCACAAGGAGGTAGTATTAAAAATATTTTTGTTTATGGTTGAGTCATGCTGCAGCTATATCAGCAGAACGAATGGGTTGGCTCGGGGAAGGACCACGCTCTCACAGAATACCAACGTAAAATAGCAGCTTAACGCTGCTGTGTTTCGTACGGCGAGTGTATAGAACCGCTGGAAACGAGGCATTCTATCTTAGTCCTCACGGGTGACAACGCATCTGCATTTTGATCCGTAGTTGAGGATAGATGTAGATATCTATTGGCTACTACTACTTACCATCAACTACTAATCCTATACAAAAAATTTAAATTGTGTTTTGCTAGATGATCTTTTTTAAAACTGAAAATCAAACAAGTATGTTAACAAATTTTCACTTTTTTCCGATGCCAGCTACGGCCAAAAAAATAAGTACATTTTTGCTATGTGCGTCTTTCTATTCTATTTTGTCTATGCTGTTAAATTATTTGGATTTCCATTATGCACAAGTTTTTCGAAACTGGGCACAACTAAAACGAGGGCGATTCCATGCAATTCTGTACAGAATTGATCAAAAATAAAGTTAAGTATCTAAACAATGTTACAATATTATTTTAAATTCTATACCTGTATAGATAAATCAATTGATTGTGTGCAATCTAATGTTAGTATCCGGTGAGTATCGTAAGAGGCGATAGAGGAAAATAATAAGATAAGCATCTTTGTAATAATAAAACTAAAAAACAACTGTCAAAACAACATCAAATATTTTTATTCATAATATCTTTAACTATTATGTTTAGATTTTTGATAGGCTGTGATGAAAGTTTAATGACGCGATAAGAATAACAATGAAAATTATGACATAAAAAGACTAGTAATTATAGATAATTAGCAACATGATAAAGATGGTACCTAACATAATTCGAAGGTCTAATCTTTTGGAAGTCAGTGTTACACGTTTACAAAAAATACATAAAAAAAGATTAAAGATCAAAATTAAATAAAAAGCTCCACTGTCGATAAATATAAGACGAAGCAGACCAAAGAAAGATTTGAATTGCCACAAGCATACCACCAGCCCATTTGAATAAGCAAAGCTTTGCATTTACCTAGAGCTCGCGAGGTTTTGTTAACGTGGTGCGAATTCACGCTTTTAATACACTTTTACATCCCTATTTTTGTGATTGAAAAAGAACAACTAATAATAATTCAGTTGAAGAAACTTCAACTTTATTACTTTAATTCGTTTTTTATTAATAATTCAGATCGATTTCAAAACTAAATTATTATTATTTTAACATTGTCTTATCTATTTTAAAGTAGTTACAGCAATAATTTTTATACATTAAAATTTGCCTCTTAAATAAAAAAATGATCCAATAAATCAATAGTATAATGTTTCAATAATATCACTTTTGAACAATTTAACACAATAATCCCGTAAGTCAATAATACGGAACCACATTGTTAGCGCATTTTCATACATATTGCTTGCATTAAAAACTATTTAACTCAACGCTAATATCAAAATCAGATTATATAAAAAAAAAACTTTCATTTGATATATCAGTCACTTTAATATTCCAAAGCGTTCCAGAGTTATACCACAAAAACAGTCAATCATTTTTTCGGTAAAATTTAGGTTTTAATATATATGGATATGGACAGAATATTTATGTATTTAGTCACAGATCCAATAGATCCAATAAATTCAAATGATAGCAATATTTAATCACTATTTAATTAGCACAGCAATATGTAATCCTCCGTAAAGTGGTAGTGGTCCATTTCAAGCAATAAAAACCTTTAGATGGGTGTCCTTTAGATCTTTCAAACCTATTACGAAATATTTATCGTTTTTATGGAAACGATAAATATTTCGTAATAGGTTTGAAAGATCTAAAGGACACCCATCTAAAGGTTTTTATTGCTTGAAATGGACCACTAAAAACGATAAATATTTCGTCAAGTTCGTAAGTCAAGGATCTCAAAACGACATGAAGTTAAAACGAAATTTAAAAAAGACAAGCTGTAGATAAAATTATTAGGACAAAAGAAAGTAAAATAAATTTAGTTTTATTAATATTGTCCAATTTAGAAACACTTAGATAATCAATCTAATGTAAAATTAACACTTGTTAACATTGTTAATACCAAGAAAGGAAAACGGACATGTACAATTTAAGGGTCTAATTGAAGCACCCATCATAACAAAAACAGCAAGTCTATTTCATGGTCCGTTGAGACCGGACAAGTGGCACGCGTCTAAGGCACTAAATTGCAGCCATCTTCCTGTTGTGACACGTGGATATGGGACAACATGTCTCTGGATACTGTGCCAAACATCTGCGAAGTGCTTTTTCCGAACCCCCAAGTTCCCACGACGGAACGCGACGTGTTTTTGTTAATGGTTGACAAAAAACAAACCAGGAAAACATCTGGAGAGTGAATATTATTTTTAGACTTAGCTTAATGAGTGTATGAAGTTATTAATGGTGTATATTATTCTGTGATTTGTGAAAGATACATATATTTATATAGTTGATGCTTATTATGTTAAGTGTAAGTGTTATAAGAAATTATTAAATACCAATAAAATAAACAACACAACAAATATTATAAAAGGAACAATTTTCAATGTTTTTGATCTCCTAATAGCAAATATTAGAATACAAAACAAACGCTGTAAGTATATTATGAGGTAAGAAAATATTATAATATATTATTAAGGTTGTGTTTTTTAGAACTTTTTCTATTCTAAATAATGTGTTACATTTGAAGTAAACTTATTAGTTGTTATTACATATAAACAAAGATAATACGATAATTAGGTTAAATGATTGTAGTTTAAATTGAAGTGTTTACATTTCAAATGAAGGTCATTGATCTACGATAAAAGACAAGCCAATCATTGCATA